GCAGATACCAGTGGGTGTCCAAGGAACCTGCTATTCAGAAAGTGAGGTTAGAGCCAGATGGTGGTGGCACACGCCTTTAATCCCAGCACTTAGGAGGCAGGGGCAAGTGGATCTCTGTGAGTTCAAGGCCAGCCTGGTCTACAGAGAGAGTTCCAGGACAGGCAGAGCAACACAGAGAAACCCTGTCTTAAAAAACAACAAGCAAACAACAACAACAACAACAACAACAAAATAAAAAGAAATAAAGAAAGAAGGAAAGAAAGGAAGGAAGGAAGAAAGAAAGAAACAGAAGAAAAAAAGAAAGTGGGGTCAGGCTTGGAAAGCATCATTCTTATCAGGACCAGAATGCCACTGGAACATAAGCACATGTCCCCACAATGGGCTCAATCCAAGGTTAGCTTCTGCCTCAGTTTTCCTGTGAAATGGGGGGGCGGTTACTGAAGGTTCCTAACTCCTGGAGTTTGTTTAAAGACTGAATTTATACATGCAATGTAATTCTATAATATCTTTGTATGTGGGAGAGCTCACCAGATGCAAAGAACGATGATCAATATTTGGGATCATTATTAGGTGCTCATCGCTCCTAGAGGGATTCTTCTGGAAGGTGTGAGAGAGAGAGGAGTAGGGGAGAACACCGTGACGTGACTGACGCCCTGGTTGATGTCTCCTCTAGATATGGTGGTACACACAGATGCTGCCCTCTTCTGCCTGTTTCCCTTCAGAGTGGTCCATTGTCATCCCACCATGTGACTGTACTTTTCTGAATCATGTGTCCATAGTACCTTCTTACATGGCATCTCACAGATGTCTCTTCTTTGTTAGGTCAGCCGTCTGAGTGTCCAGCTTGGGGACCTCCTGAAAGACCGTGGGTCACCTCTATTACCTGAAGCTCCCCTTCTGGAAAAGTCCTCCAGAGCAGAGATCAAGAAGTCAGAGCAGCCTGAGGAGGTCTTGTCTTCAGAAGAGGAGACTGCCGGGGTAGAACATGTGAGGAGCCGGACTTACTCCAAAGACTTATTGGAGAAGAAGCCGTACTCAGAGCCCCAGTCCCAGAGGCTTGAGGACCAATTCCAAAACCGAGCCCCAGAGGTGTGGGAGGAGGAGCCAACCCTCCAGTCAGCAGCACAGGGACCCCCTCGTGGAGGCCTACAGCTGGAAGTCCAGCCTTCTGAGGAGGAACAGCTGGGATACATCGTCACGGGAAACAAGTGAGTCCAAGATCTGCCTCCTGTTCCCTGGGACCCCGAGACACTGGAGAGTGGGAATGGGTCCAGGTGTGTGGGGGGGCTGCCCAGCCAGGAGTGACCCTCTGGACTTTGGGTTTGGTGTCAGCTTCAGGACCATGGTCTGAAGCCAGTAAACATACCAAGCTAATGTAAAGCCCTGCCTGCTTCTCTTGACTTTCCCATCCTCTGCAGGTAGGGACTCCCTGCTGGACAGAGGCATCTCTATGGGACAGCCATGGGTAGGATAGCAAGCTCTGGCCCAGGCTGCTCTCTCCAGGGAATGCCATACTCAGGGACAAGTGACAGCAGGTACAGAGCAGGACTTGATGTCCTCAAAGCTTAGCTCTCTACTGGCTCCTTGTTTATTGGAACTCTAAAAAATTTACCTGTTTCCCAATAGTCCAAGTAGATAATCTAGAAGGAGAATACTCTTCCTGGCTACAGGACACAGTCTGTCTGTCTGTCTGTGCTTTCATTTTGATCTGAATTTAACAAGAGAAAGAACTCACACCAAGTAACAGAGTCAGCAGTGGTCAGCCCTTGCTGATCTTGGGTCCCCTTGCTAATAAGCCTGATGCTTGATGTCACACTTCATGAAAAGATAGCACTTCTTCATGTCATGAAAGCCATGTTTCAAAGGGAGGAAGGCATAAGACTGTAAATGCACACATGCACGTCTGAGCATGCATGCATGTAGATATTAGACACAGGTACGAGTGCTCATCTGAACATATATGTCTGGGGATAGGTATGTGTGCACATGTGTGCAAATGTGTGAGCACAGGAATGAATGCTCAGGTGTTCCTTCTTCCACCATGCAGCCTGCCATTCTTACTGCTGACTGCCCTGGGGAAAAGCTTCAAGCAGGCACTAGTTCCCCTGTGGTGCTGCACAGTGATACCTGTGTGGTTTGCGCTGTCCATGTATTGTTGCTGGAACCATCAAATTTCATTGGTGAGAGTCAACTGCTAGTCCACAGAAAAGGTTTATTTTGAGCTCAAAACAGACTGTTGCTAAAAGCAAATTAAGACTCAAGACTATTTTCAGCCATTGCCAAGCCTCCCTCTTCTGAGTTTGGATAAAAGGTAGCAGCTGCAACTTCAGGACCACCCTGCCCCACGTACCCTGCATTTCTCTGCTTCTTCCTTTCTCTAGAGCAGAGTTCCCATTCTTCACCCCTGTCTGTCCTCTCAATCTCTGATGGATGCTGGAGCGCCCACCTCCTCCTATATAGAGGATGCATAGTGTACTTAGAACATGCCCCACAGGGGATGTGGGACACAGCTCTACACTTTGGAAACCCCCATAGGTTACTCACCATGCAAACTAATCAACCACCAATCACTCATAAACTCAAACACCCCGTGTGTAGGTGTCCCCTTCCCTGGAAACCATTACCCTGTTTAGACTCGGTTCTTCCTCCTCCCAGAGTCCATGGTGTCTGGTTGTCCCAGCTTGGCTTCCTGCCCGGCTGCCGGCCTGTCAGCTTTTTATTAACCAATGAGAGCAATACGTATTCACAGTGTACAGAAGGATCATTCCACATCACACCTCCTTGTCCTGTGCTCACCCGGACGCTGTTGCTGGCACGTATTTAGTGTTTCATACTGAAGTCAGAAGGAAATGCGGGGCCACCTGCAGTGGTGTTCCCACGGGAGAGTGAGAACATGCTGAGGTGGAGAGGAACTGGAGCAGGGGGAGGAGGGCACAGCTGCCTCACAGGAGTCTCAGGAGGTGTTGAAGAGAAGGGCCATCTACAGAGCCAGCCTGTGGAAAGGGGCACCATGCATATTAAGAAAATGTCGTTTTAGTAGACGTGGGAGGTGTGTCATGTCAGCACTAGTGTGTGTTATTCGTGTGCATTACTGTGTGTTCTCTATCATGTGTTCACGTGCATGTAAATCAGGTAAAGGACCAAAAGGCCTCCATCACAGAGCTATGTGAAATGAAACCCAGGACTCAAATGCATTCTGCGACAGCCATCTGCTGGGTTCCTGGGCTGAATAAAGCAAGCTGAGCACCATTGACATTTATCATCTCCCTCTGCCTCTCGACTATGGATGTCACGTGATCACTGCCTCACACTGCCGCCACTATGGTGGCCCACACCCTCCAACTCTGAATCTGAACAAACTCTCCCCGGCTTGCATTGCTTTGTTGGGTATTTTGTCACAACAGTGAGGAAAACAACCATCATTGGGGTTCCTAACTTCCAGTGAGTTTTCAAGTAAATAATGAGATGTCCACCGTCAGGCGACGACACAGTGGGTGTGTGCAGGGCTATCCTTGATGGCAGATGTGATATCTGATGGATACTGTCTTCCACATGACTTCACCTGGACTGGAAGTCAGAGACAGTAACCTACTGGGGAAGGAGTGTGAGACACTGCACGTGCTGACCCTCCCGCTTTGTGAAGTCACAGTGTTCATAGAGGCAGTAGGCCCATAGCTGGCCTGTTGTGTTCTTCTGATACCTGCCTGGAGTGCTGGGTCCCTGCAGCTTCCCAGGGTGGCTTCTCTGCTGCACGGTTAGTTTACTGGTGTGACAGTCTGGGATGAGGGATTTAATTTCTCTAGCTTTTGTTTCTGCTTCTTTAAAACAAGGTTATACTGAGTGTGGTGAACACACCTTTATTCCCAGCACTCAAGAGGCAGAGGCAGGATCTCTGAGTTTGGGGACAGCCTGGTCTATGTAGAGAGTTCCAGGCTAGCCAGGACTACATAGGGAGACTCTGTTCCAAAAATAAAATAAAATAAAATAAAATAAAATAAAACACGGTTGAGCAGCTGGACATGGTGATGTTTACTTGCGGTCACAGCTCTTCAAGAGGCTGAGGAAGGGGGACTTGCTTGAGGCTAGGATCAGGGACAGGCTGGGCAGCATATCAAAACCTCACTGCAAAATAAAACAAAATTACAAACTGAAACAGTTGGAAACGGTGCTGTGATCATGCCGGGAGGTAATGTATGTGACATCTGAGCTCAGTGGCAGCACAGAGAGCTTTCCAGAAGTTTCTGTTGCTCTTAACATTTCTGATCCTAAAGTTATTTTTTTTAAATATTTATGAGTGTGTGAGTATTTTGCCTACGTGTATGTAAGTACCCTGTGTGTACGCCTGGTGCCCCTAGGGGTCACAAGAGGGCATGGGATTCCTCAGAACTTGAATTAAGATGGTTGTAAGCCAAAATACGGGTTCTGGGAACAGTCAAGTCTCTTTAGCCTGCTTCTCTCTGTTTTAACAGTGTCGCTCTGTGGCCCCTTGGTCGCATGGTATTTTCATTTGTGCTTACTGTTCATCCAGATTCTTGTTTAGGTGCTACGAGACTGTGTGGGAGTCCATGAGCTGTGTTTATACGGGAGTCCACATGTTTTATTTGGGAGTGAGTCTATGTTCGATGCTGACTTGGAGTACACACGTGGGAGTTACACAGTAGTCCACACACTGTGTTGCAGGAGATGGAGTCCCTGTGCTGCACTTGCGTGGAAGTTCCTGCTGACTGGGGAGGGACTCCTCACGCTGGTGTGCAAGTTCCTGAGCTCTGCTCAGTGTGCTCAGTGCCGCAGGGAAGGGCTTTCTTGTGGAAGTGTGAAGACGAACTCTGGATTCTTCCTGTTTTGCTCATTTGGTAGATATTGGGAAGCAGCCTCTCTTACAGTGGTTGAATATTAGCATTAAAAAAGTTCAAAACGGTCCCTGGCGTGATTCCGTCCTGCGTGTCTGTTCTGAGGAGCAGTAAGCAGTTTCCTCCGTCCGACTTCTCTCACACCGAAGTGCGCTCCTCCACCTCATGGAAGACTCGATGGACAAGGACATGAGCCCTCTCAGGCCTCAGAGCTACCTTTTCGGTTGTGAACTAAAAGCTGACAAGGATTATCACTTTAAGGTGGATAATGATGAGAATGAGCACCAGTTATCACTAAGAACGGTTAGTTTAGGGGCAGGGGCAAAAGACGAATTACACATCGTAGAGGCAGAAGCAATGAACTATGAAGGCAGTCCAATTAAAGTAACACTGGCAACTTTGAAAATGTCTGTACAACCAACAGTTTCTCTTGGGGGCTTTGAAATTACACCACCTGTGGTCTTAAGGTTGAAGTGTGGTTCAGGGCCTGTGCACATTAGTGGACAGCACCTAGTAGCTGTAGAGGAAGATGCAGAGTCAGAAGATGAAGATGAGGAAGATGTAAAACTCTTAAGTATGTCTGGAAAACGATCTGCTCCCGGGGGTGGTAACAAGGTTCCGCAGAAAAAAGTAAAACTTGACGAGGATGATGAGGATGACGACGAAGATGATGAGGATGATGAAGATGATGATGATGATGATTTTGATGATGAGGAAGCTGAAGAAAAAGTTCCAGTGAAGAAATCTGTACGAGATACCCCAGCCAAAAATGCACAAAAATCAAACCAAAATGGAAAAGACTTAAAACCATCAACACCAAGATCAAAGGGTCAAGAGTCTTTCAAAAAACAGGAAAAAACTCCTAAAACACCAAAAGGACCTAGTTCTGTAGAAGACATTAAGGCAAAAATGCAAGCAAGTATAGAAAAAGCACATTGAACAGTCCTGGGCACTACTGGTAAATTAAGCCCAAAGATGGGGAAAGAGGAAAAGGAGAAACAAATATAGTCCATACTGAGTACCATCAACAATCCAGACTGAAGTCTTCTATTTTAATCTCAATCCCCTTTCCTGATTGGCCATCCATTCCCCCCTTGCACGCTGGAAGCAATCTCTTATTTTCCTAAAGCATTTTTCTTTCACTCTTGTGATGCAGAGAACTTTACTGCTTTCTGCACTTGTGCATACGCCTCATCTCTGACCATGTTTTAATACCTTTGTATCCTTAGCTGCTCAATAAATTTTTGAATGAATCAAAAAAAAAAAGTTCAAAACATGCTGCTGTCCCTCAACCCCGTAACATGTTAGAGAGAGAGACCTCATCTCTATGTCTGAAATCCTTACTGCTTATTGTGTGCCTGTGTGTGTGTGTGTGTGTGTGTGTGCGCGCGCGCGCGTGTGTGTGTGTGTGTGTGTGCCTGTGTGTGCGTGTGCATGTGCGTGTGTGTGTGTGTGTGTGTGTGTGTGTGTGTGTGTATGTGTGTGTGGCGGGGGTTACTCAAGGCTCTCCCATCTGTGAGCCCAGCTAACAGCGAGTGTCAGTGCCTGCTCTCCTCCAGGTGATCAGGGTGGCAGCTGCCACACACAGACAGCCAGAATTGCTCTGTTGAGTCCTCCTATTGATTTTCCAGATTAACTCCAACAGCTTCCTAAGGAAGTTCTGACCATGAAATGACAGATGATGGCTGTGTATTTTAAAATATAGCAGAGATAACTGTGCGCTCATTTGAGCACAATCTGCACGGAGTGTTGAATGGAGCATGCCCTGCCTGCAGCTCTGACAGTGATGGGGAGGCAGGAAAGGGGCAGCTTGCCCTGACTTGTGGTTAGTGTGATTGGGGGTGTCTGTCTAACTGTGGAGGCAAAGGGCTTAGAGAGGGATTTGGTTCAGTGAACTTCAGCTCCAAGGCCCTGCTAACTAGTTTGCTGTGGATTATAATAGCCATTTTCCCTGTCTAGGGCTGAGAAAGTCGTGAGGTATATGGAGCTAGAACCCATGACAAAGCCAGTTGGCACTTCACCTTCTCACTCTTTGGTAGTAGATAACCTATACGTGAAATTAGTGTAAGTAGGTCCAACACAAATTGTAAAGTCAAAGCAACTCATCATGGAACTTGGGAGTTAAAAATCTTAAAAAGAAATGGGCCTTACTTTCTACAAGTTTGAGGTCTGGGCTGACATGCAGACCTGGAAGATCTTGGAGTGACCAGCCAAAGCTTCCATCAGTGTGTGGGCTGAATTTTAGGTAAAGGAGAGGTGGCAGGGCCAAGGGACTGTGATTAGTAGATAAGTGATGGGTGGTAGTTACAGGCAAAGGGGACCTGGGCAGGTGGGACAGGGAGGTGTGCTGGCTAGTTTTATGCCAACTTGACAAATGCTAGAGTCATTTGGGAAACAGGAACCACAACTGAGAAAGTTTCCTACCAGGTTGCCCTATGGGCAAGCCTGTAGTCCATTTTCTTGATTGGTGATTGATGCATGAGGGCCAGGCTTATTGTTAGTGGTGCCATTCCTGGGATGGTATTCTGTGGGCTATAAGAAAGCAGACTGAGCAAGCCAGTAAGCTATTTTCCTCTTTGGTCTCAGCATCAGATTTTGTCTCCAGGTTCCTGACCTGACTCTCCCTAGTGATGGACTGTTATGTGGATGTATAAACAAAATAAAACCTTTCCTTCCTAAGTTGCTTCTGGTCATGGTGTTTTATCACAGCCATAGAAACCCTAAGATAGAAATTGGTACCAGGAGTGGGGTATTGCTGTGACAGATCTGACCATGTTGTTTTGGAGAGGATTGTGAGAGGACTTTAGAACTTTGAGCTGAAAAAATGCCATTCAGTGCTCAAGGGCTGTTCTGTGAGAACTTGGAAAACAGGAATGCTGAAAGAGATGCAGACAGTGAAATACTGGCTTATGAAGTTTCAGAGGGAAGCAAAGACTCTATCAGAGCCATTTGTGTGATATTTTGAATTAAGAATATCTGGTTCTTGTCAATTGGGTCTGAAGAATTAGTTGTGATTGACAAGAGACTAGACCACTAAAGTAAAACCTTTGCTTTTTGGGGACAATCTATCCTGGTCAGCTGCAGCTGAAGAATCAGCTGTGATTAAGAAGGGACCAGCATCACTGGGATGAAATTTTCTGGGAGGTGTTCCTCAGAGTCAGCACACAGAAGCTGCAATCTAGAGGGAGCAGAAGTTATACCTCCTGCTGGCGGCAGAACTGGGTAGTGTGAGAATCATCTAGATGGTACTGGTTTTGAAGGCATGCAGGTGTCGTGAAGAGCAGCTAGGCTTGACATTTGTGTAGCAGGGCTGGAGTCTCTAAAGAGAGGGCCAGAGGGACCGCTGATGAAGGTGCAACTTCAGTTGCCATAGAAGCTCTAGGATTGAAGTGGTTATGGAGAAAGGTTGAAGCTCGGTACCATGTGACCGACTCAGAATCCCTGAAGAGAGCTCCAGAGAGGCTATTGGTGAAGGTGTAGCCCAGGTGCAGAAATACTAAGCATTTTGGAGATGCCAGTACCATGTGATGGCCACCAAGAGCAGCAGCAGCTGTGTAGCAAAGACAGCTGAAGCCTAGGAGATAAGCTGCATGTACTATGGCAAGCCCTTTGTAGCCTAGAAGATCCCGAGTCCTGTAAATCTGACACTGATATTTCACTGTTGGACTTCAGTTTTGCTTGGATTTGAATGTAATTATGCCCTGATTCTTCCCTCTTGAAGTGGGAAGGAAGGTATTTGACTAATTTCTGATTTTACAGGAGCCTACAGTTGAGAGACTTTAAGGAGACTTTAGATGTTTAGAGAAACTTTGCAATTTTAGAGAGACTTTGGATTTTTAAGTGTTTCAATTTTTAAAGATTCTGAGACTTTTCAAAGTTGGAAAGTTTTATTTTGTGATATTGACATCAATGTGAGATCTTGGGAATGAACAAGAAAGGAAAGTTGCGGCTTAACAGTGATATGCTTACATGTCAAGTTGACAAGGGATCGATTGTGATGGCTACTTTTATGTCAACTTGACACAACACTAGAGTTATTGGAAAGTGGGAACTCCAATTGAGAAATTTCCTGGCCAGACTGGCCTGTGAGCAAGACTGTGGCACATTTTCTTGATTGGTTATTGATGTGTGAGGACCCAGCTGACTGTTAGTGGTGCCACCCCAGGGTTGGTAGTCTTGTGTGCTATAAGGGCACATCAGTAAGCAATGTTCCTTCATGTCCTTTGAATCAACTCCTGCCTCAGGTTCCCGCCCTGTTTGAATTCCCACCCTGACCTCTCAGTGAGGTCTGTTACTTGGAAGTATAAGCAGAATAAAAACCTTTTCCTCCCCAAGTTGCTTTTAGTCATAATGTTTTATCACAGCAACAGAAATCCTAACTAAGACACATAGAGATGAGATGGCAAGATGCCTGTGGGCAGAGGGAGGAGCTGGGCCACTAGATGTGAGGCATCACTGAGGAGGGGGCATCAGGGGCCAGGGCAGCACCCCCTGTAGGTCCCAGCATATACATTATGCCATGGTTCCCACTGGTTTGAGGGTGCTCTCTCTTCTTGGTATGGCAGGAGTGTTCTTGAATCTGGTGTCCATGATGGTAGGTGTGTATTTGTGGGAATGATCCACTGTCTCTTGAAGCATGAGCCCATGAGCATGTCTGTCTTGGTAGGACTTGAGGCTGTATTCATGCTTGAGAAGTATCTTGATATTTGGGCCTGTTCATGGAGAGGATATATTTCATGCATCTGTGTAGTGTGTTAGTATGTGAGGAAGGGTGGTTGTGATGCCTGGGAAATGTGTTGGTGTATGTAGAGAGGTATGTATGCTTTGATGTACATGGAAGAATATGTAGGGATAACTTGGAGAGTTCTGGGGTCTTTGTATATGCCTGGGGTGCATATGGAGGGACATGTGTGTATGTCTCGATAGTATATTGGTATATATGGAGGAGTGTGAATGCATGTGTGCCTAGGGAATGTATTGCTGTATGTGGAGGGGTATGCATGCTTGCATGCCTCGGGAGTGTGTTGGTGTGTATAAAAGGTCATGTGTACATACCTGGGGAATGTGTTGGTGTGTATGAAAGGATGTGCATACGTTAATGCCTAGGGAGTGTGTTGATGTACATGGAGATGTTGAGTACATTACCAGAGAATATGTTGGTATGCATGGAAATGTATGTGAGCATAGGGTGTACTGTATGTGGATGGATGTTTGTGTATATCTGGCAGTGTGTACATGGAGGAAGACTGTGTTAATGCTCGGTGAGTTTTGGCATATTTGGGGAATCTCACAGGTCAAGGGAGGGAGGTATCTTGTGAATGGATCACAAGATCACCTCATTTCCTGAAACAAGGCTCTCAGATCAAATGGGTCATCAAGTGGACAGAATTCTTCATTTTGATTTCTATCTTGATGTTAAACATGCCATCCCAGACTACAATCCTGACACTTCTGATATAGGATTTTGTTGGGCAGAAGGTGTGAGGACCAATGAATTTCTGTGCTACAGGAGCAGCCTTAGCTGTCCAGCTAGACCCAATGTCCACAAGCCACTGACTGTTATGGGACTCTGTATTCCAAGTTTGTGGGTTCTCCTGTGAGGCCAGTGGGAAGGTGGTCTATGGTCAACTCTTTCTAGATCTTCACATTGATCATGGCTGAAGGAACAACTGGATTGAATTTTGGAGTGTGACACGGCCCTTCAGCATCCATTCAGCTTTCATAGTCTTCTATTTGCAGACTGGTGGGCACAGTGAGTTATTGCCTACCATACCTGTCTTCCTCTCATTTCACTAATACCGTGGCAGCCCTGAAGCTCACCTTGTCCCTAACCTTCCAAGGATCCAGGCAGCCCCATGGACTGATGGGGTCTGAGCATTGGATCCTACCATCTTATAGAGTATTTGGTGGCTAGATAGTGACTGGTTTCCCAGCCCCAGCATGTCCCTCAGCAAGACAAGTTGTCCCTGTCCCTCCTGAAAGCCAACAACCTTCCCCTTTACATCTTAGTACAGCAATTGTAGCAGCAAGCAGAGTATCCCCAGCTTAAACACACCTGACCAGGCAGAACTCCTGAGCTCTTTTCTGCCCTCCCTTCCCTTCTCTGTAGAGCAGTCTCCAGTCAGACCTCCTGTGTCATAG